CTCTCTCTCTCTCTCTCTCTCTCTCTCTCTCTCTCTCACACACACACACACACACACACACACACACAACTCCAACTTCAGGCGGGTGGTGCGCGCACTCACACAGGCCGCCGGGCGCGCGTTCCCACGCCCACCTGGACCCCAGCCAGGCGCTCCGCCTTTCGCTCTCACACCTACATTCCGGAAGACAGCCGGCGCTCACTGCAACGTCCACGCCCTCGTCCACTGTTCGCCGAAGAGCTCTCTCGCACCAAAGCCAGCCAGCCTCGTCCAGACCTAAAAGCAACCCCGCGTGTTTCTGCTCTGAGAAAAAGGCACTTTTATATACCCAGGGGGTTACATTGCCTCCACCCCAAGAGCGCCCGCACATACACACATCTATGCACAAGGTCTCAGCCGCTACTTTTTCTCTTAAGCAAAGTCAGGTTCTGGGAGTCGGTGCTGCCGCACTTAGGTAGCAGGAGACCCCAACTCTGGTGCGAGGAGCAGGGCTGAGGGTTGGGGGAGTGGGGAAGTGGTGAGAGAAGCCACCCACCCTGGAGCCTTGAGTAAGTCCTGCCTCTAATGTGCCCGCCGACACCTCAAGAGCTCGAGAAGTCTCTCCCTTGGGTGCGCGGCGAGGAGCGAATCCTAAAGTTCGCGGGATCCCGGGGGCTGGTGCCTATTGCCTCTACAATTCAGAAAGGGGTTCAGGTGGGGTGTCGAAGTCTTCACAGCTTTGTGGGGGGGGGGCAAGGTCTTGTAGAGGGGAGGACAAGTTGTCCCTCCCCCACGTGGGCAATCGGAGCTCCAATAACACACTCCGAAGACTACCGACTGGGAGACGCCTAATGGTCCTTCTACCTCCGCAGGCAGCGTGCTGAGACCGCACCACCTGAGTCGACCCCACCCGCCCAGCCCTCGTGAACCCCGCTGGCCCCGGGAACCGACCCGAAGCCGGGCGGGAGAACGTCTAAGACCTTTGTCATCACTTACTAGGAATCTCTCCTCTGTAAGGAACTCCTCTATAATAATGGGGAGATAGCTCTGCGCCCCAACTTTTGGGCTGACTTTTGGATAGAGCCAGGGAAACCCACACAGAATACCCTGGGGGCTCTTCCTGCCAAAGGCCTGCAAACCCAGGGGGGAAACTTGTGTCTCTCTTGGCGATTCCGGCCAGGGAAAAGGGCTGCAGGGTGGAAAGGTACGGCGGGGAGACACGCCTCTCAGTCCCCTGCATCCCTCTAGCCGGACCACTGCAACGCCTCTACAGTCTGACAGAACTGAGCCTGTCCCAGCTGCTACTGTGCGCCACTCTCCACAGAGCTCCCGGAGCACGGAAAAACCACTAGCCGCGCGGGACCTGGGGAGGGAGAGGACTAGAGAAGGTTCCAAATGCCTAATCCTGGATCCCGAGGCTCCGGGTCTGGGTGAAGTCAGTTGTGGTCCGCACGGTGGTCAAGGGTCCCGGCAGAGTTGTGCTAGGATTTAGCCTTCCCCAAGGCTAAACGCGGACTGGGGGTGGGGAGCTGGGAGGGTAGCGATTTTCGAGCCTTGGTAGTGGGGGCTGGAGAGTTGACATCCTCTCCAGAGACTCTGTCACCATCCCGAGGCTGCGCTCTATTTGTCCTAGGCGAGGAGCTGGGTGGTCAACTTTCAATCCAGAATTAGTGCCCCGTTGAAGTTCGGAGAAGTTTCTGAAAAGCTCTTGGGAACTCAGATCCCTGTACTCTGAGGAGAGCGCTCATCCCTCTGGAAACTAATCTTGACAAAAATATACTTAAGTTCTGAGCTTGAATATGGTTCTTGGTGCCCCATGGATCAGCTATTTTATCTCTGAGCACCCAGAATTACTTGGCTTAAAATTCCACCTCCATGGTCTCTTTGCACAGTGTCTGGAGTATAGCAGGTGCACAGGGAATGTTCAACAAAGGGAGTGAGCGAGAGGATGAATGAACAGTTACAAGGCTGCGACCCGTAAGAGTCAGCAATAAATTTGCAGCCAAGTTGAATTGGGCTCTAGACCCAATTTAGGTCCATTAGATAGAAAAGCAGATCTTCTATCCAAAATGCAACTCCTTTGATTTAATAAAGGAAGCAGTATTCTGGATCTAATGTGTGAGGAAGTATATTGAAAGCTTCCCTTCAGAAGTCCACCAGCTTGAAAAGCAAAATAAAACAGTTCTCTCATCCCATCCTATATTATATGAGTGAAAGGGAGAAAAAGTCAATAAAATAATTTGTTTTCCAAACTGAGAAAATTACATTCTGATTTCCCTGGAACTGTTCTGAGCTCCAGGGCATAATCAAACTAGCATAAGGATTTACAGAGAGTGGTTTCCCAGGAACACCTTTCATTTTTAAGTGCCTCAAATATTTTGACGCTTAGCTTGACAATATTTGTGATAACTTTAAAATTTTGCCAATGATAGTCTGAAAATTAGAGAGAAGCAGAGACCATGTACTATAGCTTAAAGTTCATTTTTATTTACTTTAACTGAATACAGAAATCTTAACTTTAACAAAGAAATGTGCTTTACTTTACAAATTTCCTCAGAGAAATATTCCTTACATGAAAGTTTCATTCATTCAAAACATACTTATTAAGGAGCTACTGCATGCCAGGCATTGTTCTGGTGACTAACAATTCACAGTGAACACAGCAAAAACTCCAGTCCTCCTGATACTTAAATGATAGCGGTATAATTAACAAGAATCTTTATAAATTATCCTCCATCCAAATAAAGCACATTGTTCTACTACTCTCCTCTCAATATAGAAATATTATCTATTTATTTTGTCAAATAAATATTGAGGGCTTATATTATATAAATATAAATATTATTCCCAGCTCAGCTATATTGTGTACTTTGATTACATTATTTGGACAGCTGGTATTTTTAACTAGAAATTTTCTCTTTTCACTTGTTTAATTTTCTTCCTGCCCATCATTTTTTTTTTATTTCTTCTTAGGTCTTACTTGTTCCTTACTTTAGATTTACTCTCTCGCTTTAGTGAAAGATATTCAACTCTATGATAGATATTCAGGAGATAGTATTCTAGGTTGGAAATCATTGTCACTGAGAATTTTCAAAGTATTCTTTATCATCTGCTTTTTCCAGAGTAACTGGAAAAATGGGAAATCTACCTCCAGATTCTCTCTCTCTCTCTCTTTCTCCCCTACTCCCTCTCTGAATTTTCTCACAAGTGTTCTAAAATTGTGTGACAGTGTGCCCTTGTGCCTTGGGTTATTTTTATTTATTGTTCAGAGTCCTGAGATTTCATGTACTTCACATCAAGAAAATTTTCTTGTTTTATTTCTTTAATAATTTCCTTCTCATTATTTTTGTTCCATTTCCTTTTGATCACATTTTCGATTTCCAATACCTTTTTTGATTCTGTATTGCTTAGTAGCCTCCTAGTTTTGTTTATTGGCTGCAAGTTCTTCTCTTAGCTCAGTGAAGCTATTAAACATAAACTATTTGTTTCATGTGCTTCATACTTGAGACCACGTTTACATTTCTTTGACTGTTGATTTACATTTAACAGGGAGCTAAAACATTCTAATCAGAAAATGGGGGTGGCTATTGTCTATTTTCTATTGATGAAACAGAATATAAAATTATTCAATGGGGAACAATTTTGTGGTATTGGGGGGAGCCTAAACTCCAAGTATCTGTCAGCCTTTTCTCATGGCTTCCATTTTCCCTAAGCTGATTCCTCCTCTCTCACGTGGGAAAGCTGGGTAGGGCTGGCTGGGGATGGAGTATTGTTGAGTAGGGGAGGAAGCAGAGTTTTACCATTTACTGTGGTAACCATGTAGTCTTCTCTGGGACCCAGGAGGGTAATCATCTAACTGATGGGATTCAGAAGGAAATCTTGGGACTAACTACTCCTTCTAAAGACCCGTAATTGCTTCAACTTTCAGTGCATCCTGTAACTCCACCAGCAGAAGTGATCAATTACTGCAAATCCTGAAGTTGTCTAGGTTTCTTGC